CCCCCTTGCATGCATGCCTCACCTTGGGCGGCCAAGGCTCCTTGCATACATGCCTCACTTTGGGCGGGAAGACAGGCCAGGGAGGGGAAGGGGAAAGGAGGCTTGGGAGGCCCCTCCCCCCCACCAGTTTTTCCACAACGGGCTCAGAACCTGTCAGTTAGAAATGGTTAGTTTCGGGCCAGAGCACTACAGCCACGTCCCCTGCCTGCTCCCTCACTTCTTTTCCTTAAATCCTGTTTGCTTGGGAGGCTCTGTCAGCTCCCGGCTCGGGCCCCTCCCCACCTCACGGGCCCCTGCCACGTGCCCCTCTTTGAGCGGGAACTTGAGGCTCAGCCCCTCGGAGCGTTGTGCGCAGCCTCAGTGCTGAGCCCGGCTCGGGAGAGGACGGAGGTAGGCGTGCTCCTCGGCGCTCCGGGGTAACCCTTCGGGCCCTGCCGCGGCCTGTCTTGGCGCGGCTCGGACCTGTTGGCAGCCCGTGCTTGGCTCGGTGCAGGGGCATCTTCTGGGGGCCGAGCTGCCGTTTCCTGAAGGTCACCTTCGGGCCCTCAGGGTGCTCGGTGCCTCCGAGGAAGCCAGCCGACCCAGAAACATCGGGATCCAGGTAGGAGGGAGGCGGCCGTGGGGTCCCGGCATAGAGTGGGTGCCAGGCAGGTGCCCAGCGAGGGTGGGCAGTGGGCCGTGTTCATGAGGCGGGAGCGGCGGCGGCATGGCTCCGATTCCCGCCCCCTCCTGCCGCCCTCCGAGGTCGGTGAGGCGTTTTTTTCCTCAGCCCTCCCGCTCCCCAGTCTTCCCCCAGCGAGGTGCTGGCAGTAGCTCGACTTTGTGGGGCGTTTTGTGGTTTGCCAGAGGCTTTCCGGGTGGGATCTCGTTTCATTTTTGCACCGTCCCATGGAGGGAGATTCTGTTATTATGTCCTTATAGATGGGGTAAACGGGTTAAGAGACCTGCCAGAGTCGTCGTCGACTCCACGGCTAGTGCTCTACCCACTGTGCCACCAAACTGCTCCCCGCCAAGTAAAGCGCGGCCTAGCCCGTTCTGTAGATGAGGATGAGGCTGCGAGAGGGGAAGCGACGCGTTAGGAGACTAGGGTGGCGCCATAGTGCGCATAAATTCAAATGCAGCCCCAGACACGAGCGGAGAGACTGGCAGGAGGTCCCTTAGGCTCGATTGGCTTCATTTTCCTCGACTGTAAAATGGGGATAATCATAGCACCGTCATCATCATCGGTATGGTTAATGATAATAGGATAATACTTGGAAAAAAATGCTTAGCACAGTGCTATAAATGCTTATTCCCTTCCCTTCTAATGGCTTCCTAGTCCACGAGCTGGGATTGGAGGCCACTTTAGGGAGCTCTAAGATTGCCAGACTGTTGTTTCCTGAAGCCTGCTAAAGAACTTTCCCTTTCTCCCCTCCATGCTTGTTCCTCCCCCCCTTCTGCTCCTCCCCCCCCCCCCCCCCTCCCCTCTCCCTCTTCCCCCTCCTCCCCCTCCACTCTTCCCCCTCCCCTCTCTTTCCTCCCCTCCCCCTTTCTTGTTCTAGAATTGAAGTGTATGTTCTGAGCATTTAGCAGTCATTGCTTCCTTTCTAGGGGCCAGTCCATATGGATTCACTAGGAGTAAGTTGGAAATCATAGAATTTAGAATTGCCAGGAGTGTTTGAGGCCAATTAATTCCCCTTTTGTTTTCATGCCATGCTAACTTCCTTTTCTTGTTTTTCCCCTAACAGGGTGACCTAGACTATCTTTCCCTAGCCATAGCGTATCTGGATTCCAACCAAGCATTCAACAGGGGCTCTTGTGACAGCGCAGTGGAAAAGCTGGAAAGATAGATGTGTGCTGGAGAGTTTGGTTAGATGGCTTGGTAGCTGTTGAGTAACTGGTATCGATCAGTAGATTAGCTGCTGGCTTTGGGTATTGTGCTACAGGGCTCTGTTCTCAGCCTTTCTCTGTTAGACATTTTTATCCATATAGGAAGGCACGAAAGGCATATCGGTCCAACTGGCAGGTGATAGACAAAGCTGAGAGGGACGGCTGTGAAGAACTTGGGTGACTAAATGAGAACCCAGAAAGGCCTCGACAGGCCTGGATGATGACCCAAACCCAGGAGCACTGCATGCCTGAGGTTTAAAAAGAGAAATCAGCTGTCTCAGTGGAGGAGGGAGAGCCCTGTGTTCCTGCAGACTGTGTCGCAAAGACTTGAGGGTTTTCTTAGGACTGCCCCAAGGTCAAAATGTATCCCCTGTATGAGACGGCAGCCAAAACCCTCTGCTGTGATCTCAGGCCACATCAGTCGAAGTGTGGTGTCTGTAGAGTGTGTGCGTCTGCGTGTTCAGGGCAGAGGGTTTCCTGTTAGGAGAGAGAACGTCATGTGTAGGCATCCTGGGGTGAGAGGCCCAGGCCCTCTTGATTGTCTTCCTTCTTTTTTTTCCCCTTCCTCCTCCTGTCTTCTTCAGCACACTCTGTCTGCAGTTGAGCATGGAGGGGTCTTCCTCTAGTGGTCAGGAGAAGGCTGGCCTGGGGAGGCCCATGGTACATTTTGAACCGGGGCCCCTTTTCCCCAGTAGAACTGTGAACTGTCTGATGTCCCTGGGAGCTTCAGGTCTCCTGCTCTGGAATCTTCTGAGTCGTTGAAACGTTGGCACTCGTCTGTGCCAGTTGCTTGAGATGTTGAAATAGAGAGGGGGATTTGGCAAAGGAAAAGAGTTGGTCATTAGAGCCCAATGACCACCGAGTTGGTGTGGTCACTGATCTCAGCAGTCTCAGGTGAGTTGATGAGTTACCCTCATTTCATTCCCTCACCCAGGGGGAATCAATCAGGTCTCCCCACCAGACACTTCACCAGGACCAGAGAGATGGAAGCTGGTCCAAGGATTTCAGGTGAGGGTAAAGGGGTGAGAAGAGCCAAGGGGGCTCCTGGGAAGGCCCCTAAATGGGGAGAGATTTGAAAGAGTGAAAATGTAGCTCCTGGTGGTGGGTTGTGGGTGGAGGGGGAGAGAAAGTAAGGGGTGAGGGAGCTCAAGAGAAGAGGAGGCTGGGGAAGGGGAGAGCTTTGGAAAATGGTCCAGGTCTCTTTCCCTAAGAACTTGGGGAGATGACTGTATCCCACGCGTAACTGGTCCCTCCAGGACTTCTTGCTGCTGATCACCCACACTACTTTCAGAGGAATGGTCCAAACCATTGAGCTGAGGTTAAATGGGGCCTCTTGATAGCACATGGGTGTGGGCTTTAGAGGGATGGACCTTTTCAGGGATGTCTTGGGGAAATGGGGTTGGAGGAGATGGAAGAGATCATTTGGGGCCAGTAAAGAGGGACTGAAATCCTGGGGATCTAGCTGATAGCATAAGAGATGGGATGTTCTGGACTCCAGGCTGGAGCGTCAGTCTGGGAAGAGCTTTGATTTCCTCTCTGACCTGCCAGAGATCGGGGCAGGTTAAAGGCATTGAGGGTAAACTGGAGCTCAGAGAACTTGCTGCAGTCAAAGCCCCTGGGCCTTTGTGCACTCACCTGATTCTGTCCTTGATATTATCATGAACATTGTCACTGTTTGCCAGTTGCCCCATCCTCCAGTAGCCATCAACTTGTGGCACGATATTGGATTCATTGTTAGCTGGTCTTCATGATCTGCCACCCTGAGCTCTGTAGAGTTCCATAGAGCTCTAAAAGTCCCACGCTGTCTTGAGGGCCTCTAGCTGCACTTCCCCTGCTGTTCCCGGCACCAGGTCTCATATATAGGAGACTAGAGGATAATCTTTTGTCCATGTACCTTACAAGCCGTCTTCCTCCCCAGTTCTGTGGTGGTTTCTGTTGGTTCTTGTTTTGGGGGGGGGGCGTTTAAAGAGCCTTTGTTTCTCTATCTCACCCAGGCTGGCCATGTTGCAGCTCCTTGCAGGCTGATCTGAATACTAATTGGCATTAACCTGCCCAGTTTTTCTAACCAGTGCTGGTTCGCTCCTCTAATTTAGGCAGCCTGGTGGCCCTCCCGTCCCAGGGGTGGCTGATATTTGTTCCAGACTTAGTGGAGACCCCTGGTCTGCTTTAGTCCACCAGCGGCCTAGAACTCCTGAACTCAAGTGACCCTCCCCAGCAGTGTGGCCCACAGCTTGATGTTCCTGTTGAGTTTTAAGTTGGGGTCCTCTGCCCTCTATAGCTTAGCTCAAGTCATTGTGCCTTCTTGATCTGGGAGCTTCCAGTTCTCTCCATTTGTCTCTGAGTTGGAATGGGAAGGAGAGGCAGGAAGTATTCAGTCTCTCAGTGTTCTCATTCAGTAAGGGTGTGGTATGGGGAACGGGACTCTGCCTCTGGAGTTGGAGCACCTGGTTCAGATCATTACTATCGGTGTGGCCTTGGGCAAGTCACGTCCCCTGTGTAGGCCTCAGTTTGAGACAATAATGTAAAATGCTTCCCTTAATTCCATTTCTTTATGGCTGTTAAGGGTACGTTTTAAATGAAGTCCTGATTGGCATTAACCTTTAGCATGAGAATAATAAAACAATTTTTATACCTTGGTTTTGGTAGAAGAATGTTTGATTCTGAAGCAATTCTCCCCTAATTTCCTTTAGTCCACAGCTTCTTAACCTGGGGTCCATGGATAGACTTTAGGGGGTCCATGGGGAAAAAGAAATGAGCCTTTTGTTTTTCCCGATTTCTAGCCGATGCTAAGCTTTTCCTGCAGCTGTGAACTCTGAAGCAGAAACCATTACTGTGGCTTCCCATGACTGCTGGGGGTTCACCTGACAGGAAAAGGGTTGAGAACCCCTGCTTTAGCCTGTATTCCTCATGGTGGTCAGGACTTCTCCACCCCGCAGAGGAGAATTCAGGGAGACAGAAGGCCCCTTGCTCCCTGACCCTGCGGTTGGAGGGGGCAGGCTGGTATAGCCTGGACCTTGACTTCCGTAGTGCTCACGGTGTCTGTTTGTGCAATAGCAGAGGCAGAGATTGGGGGAGTGACTGTCTTTGGAGGCTAACCCTGTGGTTTCTGATAGAACCTTCTTCTTCCTCCAGCCAGCAAATGGGTTGCTCGGAAGAACAGGCCAGGCCCTGACTCGGAAGGAAAGCGTGGGAAGAAAAGGAAGAAATATGGATGGAAAGTGACTGAAGTGCACGGTACCCTGATCAAGATGAAGAGGATAAGAATGGCTGGCTGCAGCTCCGGAGACCATGCAGTCTTCAACGAACTTCAGAGTGAGTGGGCAGGGTTTTTCCTGCAGGGCTTGCCAAAGGAGCTCCGTTGATTGAGGGACTAACTCAGAGTCCCATGGAAATGGGAAAGAGTGCCCAGTGGGGGAGAGCGATAGAGTCAGCTGTGGAGGTGAGAGGGCTAACGATGTCTCTGGGGCTCCCCCTAGCTGCTGAGTCTTCTTGATTACTCACGCGCTCCCCCTGGAGGATGGCCTCTTCTCTCTCTTGGTGGAATTGCCTTGGAGCGCCCACACGATCCTGGGGACCCTTTGGGCTACAGGAGCAAGGGTGTGATTCTGTGGCCCTTGATTTCCCTACAAAAGCTGTTTGTTCCCACTGTGAGGTGTGTGGGGGGGGGGGGGGGGGGGCCGGAGTTCAACCTGCCAGGAAGCAGCTCTCTCAGCACCAGTGACATGAGGACAACTTGTCCTTTTCCTCCCCAGCGGATCCAGTCATTGAAGGCTCCCTCGACACTAATGTGGGGTACCATTCCAGTGATGAGGTAAGCTCAGTTCCCAGGGTTGAACCAGTGTGGGAAACCAGAAGGCAGGGAAGGCAGCTTTGAGCCCTCCTTCAGACCTGCCTCTTCCTAAGGAGAGTTAGTGCTAGGGCATGCTAATGGGGTTAGGGTCAGGAAGGTCTCAAGGCTAGGCCCCACAAGACCCCCAAAGGGGCAAGGAGGGCCTTGAGAGTCTTTGTTGGCATGGGGTTAGAAATTGGCCCCAGACAGGCAGGACCTGGGGCTATGTCTGCAGAGCTGGGAGTGCCCAATCCTACCTTTGCCTACAGACAAGGAGTCCTCCTTCATGGGACTCCATTTGTCCTTGCTGGGGCAACTCAGTCCTTTCATCATTACTGTCCCAAACCTCCTGTTTCCCCACCCCCACCTAATCCCCGCAGTAGACCTCCCTGCTCATTCTGGCACCCAGAGTTGTCTTTCTGTGGATGGGAACCTGCCTCTGTGCCCCTGACCTTCTTGCCCTCTGCTTTGGGTAGACTCTCTTGACTATGATGGTTGAATGTTTTGGCCACCTGGAATTCCTTCGAGAGTGTAACAACATGGTCCATTTTCTCCTGGCACTGTGAGTACCTGTAATGGACTTTGGGTGGTGGGGTTTTTTGTTTTATTTTGTTTTGTTTTGTTTCGGGGTAGGGTAGGGGAGGAGACACTTGAGATCCTAGGGCCCCAAGACGGGTATGGGGTGAAACCAACACGTTTCCAATTGGAGCCTTGACCCTCTGGCATCTGTTGTATCCAGTGCCCCCAGAACTTAGCCATCTGTAGAGATGTAGCCCAGCCCTGTGACTATGGACCTTACACATGCAAGCCTTTGGGCCTACCTTACATCCTGCCCCTTTTTATTTCAGGGTGGACCTGTGATTTCATGGGAGTAGGGCACTCCCAGTTTGGGATTCTTTCTACCCATGCTGATTGGCAACCTTCCCCCCTCCTCTCCCTGCTCTCCGCCAGTATCCCCAGCCCCACACTTACACATGGCCATAAAGGGTTTCCTGTGGTGCTGGGAGGTTCAGTGATTTGATCATGGGCCTTCAGCCAGGGTGTGTCAAAGGCCAAAATTGACCTCAGATTTTTCTGACTGCCAGGCCAGCACCATTCTTTAAAAAGAACAGAAGAGTACTGCTCTCTTCACAGCCAAGACTAGAAAGGCCTCAGCTTTTCATAGCCAGTCTTAGTTAGTCTGTACAATGGGGAGGGAGAGAGATCCTGGGACACCTTCTGCTCTCTGTGACTCTGTCACCCTACCCTGGGTCTGACAGCCTGTTCATTCACCCTCCTTGAAGAGAGAAGCGGCCTGTTGTATTTTGGGCTGACTGGCATTCTCTTCTGTTACAAAGGGCTCAGAGGTTCTCAGCTTTGTGCTGGGCACTTGGTGCCATGATTGAGGGTGAGCATGGTGGAGGGAGGGAGGGAAGGAAGGAAGGGCTGGATTAGAGTCTGGGGCCTGGCCTTTCTCCCCTCAGAGTATGTTTCTTCTTTCACTTGGACAGGTATATTGCCTCTCAAATGGACACACTGGACATGTCATACGATTGGCTCATCCTTTCTGCCCTTTTGGAAAGTAATTGGTACGCAGACAGCTTCAGGAAATTGTGGCCATTACAGATTGGATTTCTTAATGCCATTGATAGGAGAGCTCAGGTGAGCCGGGAGAGCTCAGGTGAGCCAGGAAATCCACGAAGAGGTCAGTGATGAGGGAAATATGCCATTCCATCTGTGAAGGCTTGAATAAAGAGATGACAACATGCCTCCAGGAGTTCATTGTCCAGAAAGTCTGTACTCATACAAGACCGATGGACTAAAAGGAATTTTCATAGATCCATGTTGGTGTTGTCTAAAGGCTAGGGCATGTTGTTAGCCCATAAAAATGTTTCATGATTCATTCAATAAACATTTATTAAGGCAATATAGTGCGTCAGCTCATTTCAACCTAGAGATAAAGTCATGGAAAGTCTAGGGAATCTTCATTTATTTCAGGGTAGGGGGGGAGGTTGGAGCATATCTGCCAATAAACCTGAGGTGGTGTCAGTGTTGACATACATTGCCTGAAAAGAATTGGTTTTTTTTTGGGGGGGGGGCAGTTCTTTATATTTATAATAGCGACAAAAGCCTAAGCAGGATCATTTGCAGATTTAATAAATGGATGGTCTCTTTAATATAAATTGGCAGACCTTCCTGTGCCATAAATAGATAGACCACTGACCTGATCGTGGAAGCTGCATCCCATCATTCTGTATTTTCAAAGGGAGATTATAGTTACGTGGAAGATAAGCCAGGATTCAGGAGATCTAGGTATGAACAGGCATCCTATCTACAGATGAGAGTGTCGCATTAGAATTCGACCTATCTACCATACTTCAAATGTTGGCAGTCTAGACTTGGGATTCTTTAGGGGCTGGCATCAATGCCACTTTCCCTGGTCATTCAGAAGGGGAGGTAATAGTTCCCTTCCTCCCCCCAAATACTTGGAACAAAACAAACGGTCTTAGATAACAAGCAAACACATTAACGTCAGCAAAGAGTGAACAGGAACCAGGATGTTCTACAGCTCAGAGGGAAGAGCTCGGGAGCTGGATAGGAGAGAAAACTTGCAGCTCCACGAAGGGGCAAGTGACTTCGCCAGGGCAACGCGTTCTTCCCACTCTCAGCTTGCTGGCTCTGGAAGTCAAAGATCGTGCTGGGTGCTGGCTTCTCTGTATGCCTGTGCTTCAAGGAAATCTTCCACTGGCCCCTGAAATGTTTGCCTTGTCTCTCTTGGCCTGGCTTTCTCTCTGGAGCTCCAACCTGAGGTCTCTTCCATCAGCCTCTCCCAACCATGTCTCGGGTAGCGCACACAGATCCCGTGCCGAGGCCCACTCCGGTGGGCTCACAGCACTCCGGACGGGAAAGTCACTCAAAGTGCCCATCCTCCTGCTGCAAACTTTTCTTGCTGCAAGTCTTTGCTCCGTTGCACCCTCTGCCTCTCCTGCCTCCTCTCTCCAGCTTCTCTGTCTCCTTTTCCTCTGCTCTTCCTTTCCTCCCATCTTTTAATCTTTTCAATTCCCTTTCTTTTTGCCTCTCTCACCCAAGTGCCTCTGTGCCACCCATCCTTTTTTTCTGTCTCTACGAGTTTGCTGATTCTTCAGTCAAATTTCTGATACAGCCTCCTTTTGTTTAAACTTTATTATATTTAAATTTTTTTTGCAAGGCAGTTGGGGTTAAGTGACCTGCCCAGGGTCACACAGCTAGTAAGTGTCGTGTTTGAGGCTGGATTTGAACTCGGGTCCTCCTGACTCCAGAGCTGGTGCTGTATCCATTGTGCCACCTAGCTGCCCCTAAACTTTATCGTATTTTATCATGAAATTCATTCTTTTCAGAAATCATTTCCTGATAAAGTTTTAAAATAATTTTTAATTCTGTCAAATAATTTTTAACTGCCCTCTTCTTATGGTGTTATTAAACTTTTTATGCATACGGCACCTGTAAGAGTGTGAGACAAGGGTGTGATGGGGTGAATTGGAGGGAAAGAGACAGGATGGTGGAGAAACATCTGAGATGAGGGTTTTTTATACAGGGGAATGTGGAGTGATAAAATGAATTTACCCAAGTTCGTATTTTATCTGATACACGTGGTCTTCATCAGTCTTTCTTCCTCTGTTTGAAATCAAGTTCCAGGCCCATGACCCCACCCACCCAATCTAGAATTAGAATTGATCCCTCTTTGCAAGAAGTCATGTACTGGATCATTTTGGAAAACGAAGATCTATGTGGCAATCAGCTATGTCAGCACACACACAATTTACCAGGACCTCAAGGGTGAGAAATCTGGGGAGAAAACAAAGCCCTGGGATTATCACCTACCTTCCCAAAGGGATTATTAGTTAAGGAAAAAGAAAGAGCAGGATGATGTCAGGGAGTGAAAATTAGCCTGTGCTGCTGTCGAAATCCAACAACCTCTTCTAGCCTCCTCACTGCCCTCCAGATTATGCTGAGACTTGCTACCCTGCATGGCCAGTCATGTGGAGGCCACGCCCTCCTCAGCCTACCAGGTGTAGCTGGCACCCTGAGGTCTCCTCTCCAGCCCACCCTAACCACCCCCACCCCAGTGCTCATGGCAGTCGTCTGTCTTGCTTCTCGTGGCTGCCTGGCATGCCTCTTCAGTTGTCTTCTATGCCCTTGCTCTCTTCTCCTAAGGTAGTTTGTGAGCCCCTAGGAAGGAGGGTTTTAATTACCATGAGCTCTGTAAAAAAGCATTTATGGAAGGTATTTTAATGAATCCCAGCACATTCACATCTCTCCATGTGAGAAACAGCAATTTGAGCCCTCCCTTGGTAAAATCAAAGGTGATTCCCTTCCCATGATTCTGTCACCCATTAAGTACCTACTCTGAACTCAGCATTACACTTTGCATGGCAGATGCAGGAAAGAAACTAAGGAAGTCCCTGCCCAGCAAGTCAAGTCAACCAGCATCGACTAAGGGCCACGTGCCAGATACCGCTCTAAGTGACAGCAATACAAAGAAAGGCAGAAACAGTCCCTGCCTTCGGGGTGCTCACAGTCTAATGGGGGGAGAAAACTCAGAAATGATCTCATACATAGAAGGGATATTACAGGATAAATTGCAGAGAGAAGGCACTAACATAGAAAGTACCACAAAAGGGTTCTTTTAGTGGTTGAGATTTTAACTGAAAGTGCAAGGAAGCCAGGGAGGGCAGGAGGCAGAAACGAGACGGCCATTCCAGGCATGGGGAGCAGCCGGTGGAAAGGTCCAGAGTATGGAGACGGGGTGACGTGTGAGGAGCGGCGAGAACCCTCGGATGGCAAAGAATGTAGAGTAAAAAAATGCAGGAAGACTGTAAAGGTGGGTAGAGACCTGATCATGACGGGCTTGAAAAGCCAAAGTGAGATTTTATATTTGCTCCTGAAGGTGATAGGGGAGTGCCATGGTCAGACCTGGCTTTTAGAAAGATCACTATGATAAGTGAGGGGAGGATAGACTAGAATGGGAAGGGACTTGAGTTGGCAAGATGAACTTGAAGGCCATTGCAATAGTCTAAGGGTGAGGAGATGAGAACCTGCAGTACGTTGGCAGTTGTGCCAGGGAAAATAAAGGGGCATGGCATATCAAGGAGATATTGCCAAGACAGAATCTACAGGACCTGGCAATCGATAGGCTATAGGGAGCACGAGAGAATGATAAATCAAGGCACGACACTTGGGGGACTGGGAGGATGGTGGTATCTTGGACATAATAGTGAAGTTAGGATGCTTTTGGGGAAAGGTAACGAGTTCAGTTTTGGACATATTGAGTTCAAGATTTCAACGTGACATTTAACTTGAGATGTTTGGTAAGCAGTTGGAGATGGGAGACCTGATGTCAAGAGAGAGGTGGGGCAGATTATCTACGGAAGAATTATAGAGAAACAAGGAGGAAAAATGTATGAAAAGAGAAAGCATTGGGCAAAAGTTGCTATCTGTACTAGGGGAGTGACTACCCATACTACTGAAATCATGGGTCTACCAGGACTTCATAATATGATAATGATGACAGGAATTTCACTGCACTTGAGGAAGGTCAAGAGAGAGCTGTCTAGAAGTAGTCAGACTGGAACAGCCGCAATGGACATCATCTACTCCTTCTGCTACAGTGTTTCCTGTAACAACTTCTCTCCCTCTGTGAATGAAGGAAATTACCAGGACCTTCTCTTCTCATCCTTTTCACCTTTACAGGGACAGTAACCAAGCAGAAATCCCGGGGGAAAGATTCTTCAGCCTAGAGGAGAGGAGAATGTGGAAGAACTCCTGGCCAGATAGGATAAAAGGGCAGGGACGAAGAGAACAAGATGAGGAGGGAACTGGGAGGTGTGGGGTGCTGGGGGAGGGAGAGAGAGCTCTGAGGAGGTGAAGAAGGAGCCAGGGGATGTGTGAAGGAGTGTCAGAACCTTTCTTTGTATGCCGAGAACTTAGCAAAGTGCTAGCAAACACTAGGCAATTGAAAAGGGGAGCCAGGAGGGGCTCTTGTCCTGATTTGTGAGAAAAGAGGGGCGATGGCTTCCACTTGGCTTTATCTAGCCATTGCGTACCTCCATCTTTGTTTTTCACTTATCATCTAGGTCTGCCAGAGAAGAGATTCCCCTTAGTCCAGGCCCAGGACACAGAAGAGGTCCGTGGAGGAGATGGCCTGTTTGCCAGGAAGGGCATCGTGAAGAAAAAAAGAGTCCTCATCCACAGAATTCCACAGGAATGGGTCCACTGCCTCACCTCAAGTATGTGAATTCCTGTGGCACTGGAAGGTGAGGGGCAGGGGTGGCCAGGGGTAAATGGAGAGCAAAGGGTCAGTGGACAGGCCACCTGGCTAGGTGGGCAGCTGTGAAGGATGGGCTTTGGAGGACCCTATCAGAAGCTGTCGAGCAGGTCGGTCCCGGCCACCGAGTCCAGCCTGGCCCTCTACAGGTGAACACATGGCATGCATGGCCACGCCAGAGGGGGCAGAGGCCAGAGTCTAGGCACGGACATCCACCTATCTCTATGTCTGGGAAGGGCACGAGGGTACTGGGAATTCTTCCCAAGAGGCAGGAGGGACAAGGGCCAATGGCCCAGCGCAGTGCTGTGGGACGGGCAGGGCAAAGGAATAGAGAGTCCCCCTGGCAGGAGCAGGGGGAAAGATGGAGGCAGGAGGCCAGATGGCTGGGGACCCACAAGGGAGGAGCCAGCTGAGTTCTGGGGAAGAATGAGGCAGTAGGGGACAAGATCTTTCCTGGTATTAACGCCCCATCCTAGCCATAATCCAGTGTGCCTCAAATTGAATAATTATTAGCATTTGTACTATTAACAATGGTGGCGATGATGGTGATAACAATGTCTTACATTCATACACACACACACACACAC